GTATTTTCACAAATCTAAACATCTCAGAAATAAAACAAGGTAATGCAAAACGATGGTAGCCCTACACAGGTAACCATGAGCAACAGTATGGCGCCTAGTTCTCCAGAGTGTGTTGTCTACGCATACAGAAATATACTTTTAATAGTATGATTATTCTCCTGTTTTTAATATTCATATATATTTACTCTTCCAGATGAAGTTTATAATAAATGTAGCCAGTTCTCCCAACCAGCCCCCTGAAATTTGGTAAAATGGCATTAAGTGTGTACATCAATGGGGAGGAATTGCTGTTTTTCCAATATTGAGTTCCTCCATCAATGAACATGGTATTCTCTCCAGTTTTTCAAGCCTTTTTTGACATCTTTTAGTAAAGGTTTGTATTTTTCTTCATGTATGCCTTAACTATACCTTATTAAGTTTATCCGAGGCATTTTATCATTGGTATTGCTACTAAGAATGAGATCCTTTTCTTTCTCTCATGTTTTCTATTAATTGTGGCTGCAGTACCAGAGGAAACTCTTCATCTTTACAGTTTTTTTTTTTTAATTTTTTAATGTTTGAGAGAGACAGAGACAGAGACAGAGCACAAACAGGGGAGGGGCAGAGAGAGAGGGAGACACAGAATCCAAAGCAGGCTCCAGGCTCTAAGCTGTCAGCACAGAGCATGACGCAGGGCTCCAACTCATGAACCATGAGATCATGACCTGAGCTGAAGTCGGACGCTTGACTGACTGAGCCACCCAGGTGCCCTGCATCTTTACAGTTTTAAAATGAACTCTGTTGGGAGTGCCTGAGTGGCTCAGTTGGTTGAGTGCCCAACTCTTGATTTCAGCTCAGGTCATGATCTCACAGTTAGTGAGACTGAGCCTGGTGTCAATCTCCATACTGACAGCTCACAGCTTGCTTGGGATTCTCTCTCTCCTCTCTCTCTCTGCCCCTCCCCTGCTCATGCTTGCTCTCTCTCAAAATAAATAAAATAAACTTTAAAAAAATAAAAATAAGTAAAATGAACTCCCTTGGACTTAGGTAAATGCATTATAAATTGTGATAATTTGCCCTTCCTTACCAATATTTATATGTATTATTTGTTTTTCTTCTCTTATTGCATTTGCTGCAACCTCTACGACAGTGCTAAATAGGGCCAGTGACACAAACATCCTTGTCCTGTCCTTGATTTCATGAGAAGTCTTGGAAATTTTACTGTCACATTCAATATCTTGGCCTCTTCTTTAAAAGCCCCCACCCTCCCTCAGGACTCAAATGCCCTCCTATTTCTCCCCCATCCTTGTCAAATTGCCCTATTCATAGAGGCTTTTCCTTAGGCTTTTGATAGCAGAGGGTCGGTTAAACTACCATAGTTCCTTTTCCTGGATGACGTGCATTCCCAGGCTCTGCAAAGAACGTGCCCCTTCTAGAACTAAAACGCAGAATTCTGCCAAGGCACAGCAGCTGCTAAGAGACGAGGAACTTGCCGCCTACCCACCAAGCAACACCTGCAGACACACATCCTCTTCTCTAGTCCTGAGTGTGCACTCTACAAGGTGGATTCTTTTTTTTTTTTTTAATTTTTTTAATGTTTTCTTTATTTTTGAGAGAGAGAGAGACAGCATGAGTAGGGGAGGGTCAGAGAGAGAGGGAGACACAGAATCCAAAGACAGGCTCCAGACTTGGTAGCTAGCTGTCAGCACAGAGACCGACATGGGGCTCAAACCCACGAACCATGAGATCATGACCTGAGCCGAAGCGGGACGCTCAACCGACTGAGCCACCCAGGCGCCCCAAGGTGGATTCTTTAGCTCACTCTCACTGTTCAAAGGAAGGTCTCCCTCCAAGTAACTTGTCCCAGGTCACACAGCTAAGGAGCAGACAATTCGAAGGGAAATCCTACAACCTCACAAACCTGAGTGATGGATGTGATTACAGTGGTCAAGGGGAAGTCTGGACGCAAGGGGACGGCAGATGTTCCAGGGAGAGAGTCTAATGGGGATGGGACATCCTTCCCTTCCCTGTAGGCCTTTGCTGAGCAAGCAGTTTATAGAATGGGGCTTTGCTGACAGGGTGGCCAGAGAGGAGTGGCAGGAACCATGAGAACCCTCAAATCCTCATGTGGGCATCGCTTTAAGGGAGGGGCCCTGCCTTGGGAACAAAGACTGGAGATGAGTCCCAGCTCTATCACTCACCCGCTGTGTGACCCTGGACAAGTTGCTCCCCTCTCTGGTCCTGGTTGAACACCTATAAAATACCCAACCACCTGGACTAGAAAGAGCAAGAAAATGCTTTTGCACACTCAAAGTGTTCCATTTGATTTTCTAATTAATTTTTACTTTATTTATTTATTTTATTTATTTATTTATTTATTTATTTTATTTATTTATTTTGAGAGAGAGACTCAGCATGAGCTGGGGAGGGGTAGAAAGGGAGGGAGAGAGTGAGAGAGAGAGAGAGAGAGAGAGAGAATCCCAAGCTCCATGCTCTCAGCACAGAGCATGATGCGGGGCTCAAACCCACAAATCATGAGATCATGACCTGAGCCGGAATTGAGAGTCAGACGCTCAACCGACTGAGCCACCCAGGTGCCCCTGAAGTGTTGCACTTGATTTTCAATTAAACAAAGCGATGAATCCATGCATTTCTCTCTACTCTCTTCTGCAATCTGCTAAAAGGACTATACAGAATGTTTCTTAAAGATAGACAAACAAGAAAGGGAGAGGCTGGTATCAGGGGACAAGAGGTGTAACGTGGTTTTATTTTGGGGAAATGGAGCAAGCCACTTGCAATAGGGGGAGCCAACGAGACACCTGTCGGCTCCTACCACAGATCCCAGAGAGACCCAGGAATTGGCAACGCCAGTATCTCATCGGAGGCGCAGGTCTGATGGTTGAAAACAGAGGGAAAATTACATACACACACAGACATACACCTCACTCCTCGCCCACCCGGCACAGTGCAAGATGCACAGACAGGCACCCAAGTCAGAGTAGAGGGAGTAGAAATCCATAACTGCTTGAGATCCCGCTGCCTCCTCCCCCTAAACACAAGCAACCACTCCCCCAGCCCAGGATGCAGGATCCTTTTCTAGAGAAGCCAAATGGTCCCACAGCATCTAGAAACACTGACACTGAGGGCCCTCCAAAAGATGACTAGACCTCCATCTAATCCCTCCCGTGAAGCCGCCAACTGACAGGCTCCACCCACACTCCCAGCAGTGTTCAGTGCTTTCCTCTTAAATGCCAGCAATACAAGTAAAAGAAATAAGGAACTTGGAAGAAGCACAGGGCACGCTGTGAGCAAAAGGACACCAAAGGGACACTGTCCTCGTTACCTTTAGATTAAAGAACACACTGCATACAGACACTGAACTGGGTGCAAGGAGGAGGGAAGGGAAGGGAGGGGAAGGGAGGGGAAGGGAAGAAGCACTCTACACAATACTCAGGGACTCATTTTTTTTTTTTTTTTTTTTTTTTTTTAGAGAGAGAGAGAGAGGATGCAAGTGAGCAAGGCTCAAAGAGAGAGAATTCCAGGAGGGGCAGAAAGAGACAGAGAGAGAGAGAAGTAGAGCTCACCCCAAGTGGAGCTGGAGCTCACGAACCATGTGATCATGACCTGAGCTGAAGTCAGATGCTTCACAAGTGAGCCCCCCAGGTGCCCAACATTTAGGAACTCTTGCAAACTAAAGAAGGTGGAGCCAAAATTTCAAAAGGTAGTAGTAGGGATCAAAAATAAGGACAGGGAAAATTTACCAAAGAGCAGGATGGAAAAGGCAGAGATGGGAAATTTAAAAACAAAAAAACAAAAAAACAAAAAAAAAAAACAAGCCAAACCAGAGTGCCAAACCAGGATGTCCAACCTTCATCTAAGAGAGGGGAGGAAATTACCAAACACACAAATGCAAGTAATGTTCACCACGTAATTGTCCCAGATGGAAAGACCCTGGTAAGTACCCCAAACCATGGGTGAAAATAGACTCACATAAGGACAATTTAAGACAAAAATTTCACCATGAAATGTCAGCACGCAAAGGACAAAGGAAAGACCCTGGAAGCTTCTAGACTTTGCATGCAAAAGACAAAACCAGACGGCACAGGAATCCTCAATCACGCCTGAAGCTCAAAGGCAACAGAGCAAAGCCTTCAAAATTCCGAGGGCAAAATGTTTCCAACCTCAAATCTTACCTCCAACCAAACTATCTGATGGGTTATGCAGGTAGGAAGAAAGGTTTTTTTCAGGCATGCAGTCTATCAGAAATGTTACCTCTCATTCCCTTCTCTTAAAAAGCGCCCCCACCCCAAAACAAGGGCACAAGTCAAGGAGGAAGACACAACAGGACTATGTTGATAAAAATGAGCATTTAAAAGCTCATTTTCCCCAAGCCGTCGGGTCCCTCGTGCCCTCACCCACAACAAAATCATCTAGAGCGTGTGTTTATTCACATTCTGACATTTCTGAGCATCGTGGCAACCAATGGCCTCTCCGGTTAATAAAATATGGCAGCAGCTAGCATTTGCAAACTGCTTACAGTCAGCCACGACACTTGCAGCACCTTTTTATCTTCAGCTTCACAAGCTTCCTAAGACCAGTTTTACCAAGCCCATCGTGGACATCAAGAAACTGAGATTCCGTGTGGCGAAGCCACCCAAGGCAGTGCCTAGATGGTGCAGGTCGTGAGTGGAGGAGTTAGTGCTGCGTCCCTTTTCCTGACCAGGAGCATTAGAGAGTACCTCAGGTGGGGCTCCACTGTCCTCCGCTCCTCGGACCATTGAAGGAACCAAGGCTCAGCGCAGTTAAGGCCCGGGCCCCGCCGCACACAGCCGGGCAGCCGGGCAGGGCCAGGGTCTGAACGTGCTCCGCTGCCTCCCTGTTTGAACGGCTCTAGGGGCAGCAGCTGTGTTCCCAAGGGAAGCAAGCACAAGGTGGTGGGCGGGGAGGGTGGGGGAGGAGGGAACCCCAGCCCACCCCAGAGGAAGCCCTTGGCCCTCTGCGGGAGCTGCAGGGGCACTCACTGCATGAGCCTGTCCCGGGCCAGATCTGAGGGGTAGCGCTTGGATCCACCCAGGTACAGGGACCGGTACCGCTGTCGTCGGTCCTTCGTCTCCATCAGCCAGGTGTTGAGGTAGCGGCCCACACCTACGGGGTTCTGCAGGGGGAGAGGGTGGCGTGAACTCAGGCCTCCTGGCTCTCCCCACGCCGCTCCCCACTCCATCTGCTAGGGGCTGAACTGCATCTTCCAAAGAGACAGGCAGAAGTCCAGCCCCTAAGACCTCAGCGTGCGACCTTATCTGGAAACGGCTGCTGCTGTCATTGGTAAGGATGAGGCACCATGTGATGGGCCCTGAACCCAATGACACCAGTGTCCTTCCAGAAGAGACACACAGGGAAAGACAGCCCTATGACAATGACGTCCGTGACACCTTAGCCGGGGTCCCCAAGTGAAGACCTCTCTCCTGTGGGAAGTGCAGGCATGGGGCGAGGAAAAGAGGCTTGCGGAGGGCAGACCTGCCGGTCCTCCCCAGAAGGAATTGGGCAGGGTGACAAGGTGTGGGCACAGTGGAGGCCACGCTGTCGTGCTGGGAGTGAGCAGGTGGGGTGGAGGAGGGAGAGCCCAGGTGTGGGGGTGCGGGAGGAGGTGATGGGGGCATCGTGGGAAGGCAGGTAAGTTACAAGCTAAATGTTCTCCCCGGATAACCCAGGACATACTTAAAACAGTGGTTCAAAACCAGGCACAACTACCCCTTGCTACTGGAAGTGAATATGGGGTCACCTGGTGGGGAGGGAGGTGTGGGTCAAGGGGGCTTGGGGGCACTGGAAATGTGCTCTTCAACACTCTGGGGGCTGGTTACGTGGATGCGTCCATTTGGTGACAATCCTTGGGGCTGTCCACTTAGGATTAATGAACTTTTCTGTCTGATTATTAGAACCCGAAAAAAAGTACACTTGGAAACTGAAGGGCAGGAGGAGTAAGAAACAGAGCGAGGTCCATATCCAATGGATATGCCTTAAGAAGGCATGTGCACAGGGGCGCCTGGGTGGCTTAGTCGGTTAAGCGTCCGACTTTCCCTTAGGTCATGATCTCGCGGTTCGTGGGTTCGGGCCCCGCGTCGGGCTCTGTGCTGACTGCCAGCTCGGAGCCTGGAGCCTATTTCAGAGTCTGTGTCTCCCTCTCTCTCTGACCCTCCCCTGCTCACGCTATCTCTCTCTCCTAGAAATAAATTTAAAAAAAAAAAAAAAAAAAAAGAAGGCATGTGCACAAAACCCAAGAACTTAGTGGCTATTTTACAAGAACACTACAAGTTCTATCACACACGTCGGGGACGGCCACCACGGGGGGAAGGGGCTGGTGACAGAAGGGGTCTTTGCTCAACCAAGTCCACAAGCCGCCCCTGAGGCCCCGGGAGGATGGAGGGAGCATTCCCCTGGGAAAATAAGCGCGTGAGCTGGCTCTGGGGTGATGTGGTTCTCAAAGTGTGGTCCGCAGAGCAGCAGCAGCACCTGGGAACTTGCTAGAAATGCGAATACCCAGGCCCCCCTACAGGTTACCAGGTCTGACACGGAGTCCAGCAGTCTGGCTTTGACAAGCCCTCCAAGGGGTTGCTCATGCCCACTCAAGTTTGGAAGCCATTGCCTTAGAGAAATAAGACTGTAGGAACGGGTGTTTGCCCCTGGGGAGAAGGATGCGGGCTCAGGCTCCCGAAGAGCATGGCTTCCTGGAAGCAAGGAGGCCTGGGCGTGCCCCATAGAGGCAGGAGAAGGTTCCATGGCCATCACCATCTAAACCACCCCCCCTCCCCAGCCCCCTGCCTACTCACCCAGCTTCCCAGAATCATCTGGTAGGCCTTTATTCCCAGACGCTTGGAAGACAGCAGGAATGGTGGCTGGTTGACCTGCCTGCATTCCTTCTCTGGAGGAAGCCACGAACCAGGACCAGACGTGGCCTAGGGGTTAGAAATGAAGGCTGAAAGCTGGAGGGGGTCTGGCAGTGGTCAGCCTGGGGCCAGGACAGGTGAGGGCTCCCGACGACCGACCCCATCCTCCCACACAGCCCTGGACTTTGAGCCAAAAATAGCGAGGGGGTTACCCAGCCCCCTTCCAACTCACCAGGAGCCCATCCTCGGGAGGTGGAGGGGCCCTCAAAACACATGTCACCCACTCTAAGCCCACGCATCAGCCTGACACCTCTTTCCAGGTTCCCAAGGGGACACACGGTCTGACAGGTCCATAGAGGCTCTTCCCGCCTGGAAAGCTGAAGCCACCCAGACTTTGGAGCCAGACGGGATGGCTTCCTTCTCACACTTGCCGGGGGCCTGGGCAAATCCCTTCCCATCTCTGGGCCTCAGTTTCCTCTTGTGAAATGCAAATGATAACTCCTACTTTGGGGTGCTGGAAGATGCCTGGCCCAGAGCAGGCATGCAGGAAACGGTAGCAGCCTGTTTCATTCATCCATACCCCCACTCCGTCCCAAGCCCCTAGCCGTTCTCTGGGATGGTGGGGACGGGGGGGGGGGGCGCGGACAGGGCAGGCCCTGCATGTGGGAGGTGGAGGCTTCTCCAGGTCACTGGCTGCCACACCCCCAGAGAGGAGCCCACCATTCCCTCAGGGGGAGCAGGTATGCAGTCTCTGTTGGAGCAGACCCCTTATTCGGGCTCCGCCCTGCCCCACGTCCCCTTGGCCTCTCTCCCGGGGAGAGAGTGCACTTCTCAGGTTCTAGGCTTCACGCTGCCAGCTCTGATCCTTAATCTCTGACTCTCAAGTTATGCCCAGAGGTCAAGCAAGTAAACTGAGCCTCGGAGAGTGGGAGGGACTTAACTCAGCATGACAGGTACATGCAAGACCGGGACTGGGGACTGGCAACCGGGTGGGTCCGACACCCCCAGGCTGAGCTCTGCCCTCAAAGAGCCAGCCCCACCCCATGCCTGCCCCATGGAGAGTCGCCTCCCCAGAGAAGAAGGCAGGCAGCCCAGGGGGAACACTGACCAGTTTTCGGGGGCACTGGCTAAGGGTGGCCCAGTAAATCCTCTCCGTAGGGGTTTCGGGGTTGCGAGCAATTTTCGAAAAAAACCCACGCTTCTTGTTGTGACGTGAGTTAAGTTCTTCCACGAAGCTCGTGAAGTTCATCAGCTCCCTGGGCTTTTTTTTCTGAGAAACAGAAAAGAAAACAAACAAACAAACAAATGGTGTCTGTTATGCCAGGAAAACCCTCAGCAGCAGAGAATAGCAGGTGGCCACACCAGGAGGCAGTACTCTCTCCCCCCTGCCTCCCGGGGACTGGGACTCTGAGGGTCCCCGCACCCTCGCCTCCAAGCCACGCCCACCCCTTAGCTTGCGCTGTTTGCCATTCCTTCATCTCCTCATTTCAAGGGCATACACTGCAGCAGGCGCACTGTTCTCCGCAGGAGAGATCGTCCAAATTTTTAAAAACCACTGTGACCGGGGACCACAGAGGACGGTTAGGGCTGCAAAACTACTCTGTGTGATACCAGAATGGTGGGTACGTTTGCCCAAACCTGTAGAATACACAATGCCAAGAGTGACCCCTAACTGTGGACTTTGGCTGATAATGACGTCAGTCGGGGTTCATCGATTGCCACTCCAGGGGTGGGGTGTTGCCGGTGGGGGAGGCTGTGCGTGGAGGGGGAACAGAGGGGGAACAGAGGGTGTGTAGGAACTCTGTACTTCCCGCTCAGTTTTGCTGTAAGCCTAAAAATGCTCTTAAAGATAAAGTCTATTACTTGTAGATAATAGAAAATATTAGTATGTGGCCTGGGCACTGGGCCAATCAGGAATTGGCCATAGGACCTGTGGAGGGTCCCAAGGCCCCTGCTGTGCTGGACAGGCCCGCTTCAGTGCCTGGTCATGGGGACATTGGGAAGGCTGGAGGGCTCATTCCCCAGCTATAAGCCTGGTCCAAAGTATGTTACCATTTTCCCTCCACCGTCCCATCCTAGCGCCTGAGTGTTACCCACCTGCTGGCACGTTCTGTTGATTTTACCCATGATTGTGTGTCCTTTTCCACTGGAGAATAAGTGCCACAGGGGGCAGTCACCCCCATGACTACCACCTGGCCCAAAAGTACACACCAGGTGAATGCACAGGGGTGACGAAACGAACAGGTAATTGGACAAATAGTTAATTCCAATTGCTATGAAACTGGAAGAAAGCAAAGCCCGGTGTGCTATGGATCACACGACAGGAGCATGATGGGAAAGGAAGCGGGCGTCAGGTTAAAATTCTACCTCAGTTTCCCCATCCTCCCAGCCTCTGGCTTGTTAGCTGCCGCTAGCAAAGCCAACTGCAATGGGCCCGTGATGCGTGGGAAGTGCTTCCAAAATAACAGGGCGCCCAGACCTGTGCGGTCAAGGTCCCTGCAGGCCTTGTGGCCAGTCTCCCACGCAGTCCTGGCATCGTGACTCCTCACGTCCCCATCTAACACAGGCTGTGGGGGTGAAGTGAGCAGTGTGGGGGCAGGGCACGCAGGGTGGCGGTGCTCCCAGGGCCGATAGTGACGCCTGCCACCTTGCGGGCGAGCGCATGCTCCGTGCCTCGCCCGGGTGCATACCTGCACAGAGTAATGTCCATAAGGCTGGGGCTTGCTTCGGTCACCGGAAAAAATGTCGTAGGGGCCGCGGGTGCCCGTGGATTGTGCCAGGTAGGTCTCAATGCCACTTTTTAAGGAGTAGGTGCCTGGCGCCAGGCCACTCCCCTAGAACAGAACCCAGGTGGCAGTCCCTGAAGTGCTGAAGGAGGCCCATCGCCTCCCAGGGTCTCAGTTCCCCATCTGCCCTGGGAGTCTCCCCTCCCCACTAGGACTGTGCAGGAAGCTGGGCAAGGCCTGGCCAGGTTGGGTGGGGAGAGTACCTGATGAACCAAGGGGGGTGGCTTGCTGGTCATCCTGCACATGAGGCCCTGGGAACGGCTCTGGGCCTTCTCCTCCAGCGTGGTGTATGGGTTACCCTTCACCCCGTAATTTCCAGGGCCTGGATAGTAGTTCTGTGGGGGCAGGGAGGGAGGGAAATAAAGGTCATCGATCCCACTCCTTATGCTGAGTTTGAAGAAGAGAAGCCCTGGGAGGGGAACAGGATGTTCAGGGCCCCTGTGTGTTAACTGCCCCCCAACACACAACATGGTGGATCTCGACACAACTTCATGGCTCAGACCTTCAGTTTCAAGCTCACACTCTTCCCCAGAGTGCCATCAGCCTGTCCCACTTACTTCATACTACTCCCCTCCTACGTCCCATACTCCAGCTGAACCGGGCTCCTTGCTGTTCACCAAACACAAGCCATTCTGCCATCCTCCTTGCCTTTCTTGCACGTATTGTTACCACCACCCAAAAGGCTCTTCCTGCCCTCTTTGCCTTGGAAAATTCTAACTCTGCAATGCCAGCTCAAATGTCATCTCTCCCAGGAATGAAGCCTTCCTTCCCCATCACCCCAGACAGTTGCTGGCTTTGGTGATCTCGGAAATGCCATCTGTGGCGCCTGCTTTATAGCCCTGCATTTGCATTAATGGGGTTCTCACTGTGCTATGAACAGTGCTGTAACCTGGAAGGATCTGGAGTCCCGGGTTCGAGTCCTGGCTCTGCTGCCTCACAGCAGAGTGACCTGGGGCATACCACTCAGTCCTTCTGAGTCTCACAGTCCACATTTGTAACTTGGAGATAGCAATACATTTCTTCCAGGGTAATTAGGATGAAAGTAAAAGTCTATAAAACCTCTAGCACAGTGCTCAGCCCATAGTGGGCACCGACATGTGAGTCAGGGTGGGGTGCCTATCTTGGGGGTCTGGAGGAGGAGGTAGGAGAGGTTGAGAATTGGGGATAGAATGAGAATCTGGGGGCCCCACTGACAGGGTTGAAAGTATGGTTTCTGTGGGTGGAGTGAGCAGAGCCACCCTGCAATGTAGGTGGATGGGTGGGTTGGTGAGGGGAGCTGGTCCTTGGATAGAGACCTGGAACGTTTGCTGCCGCAATGCGTCTTGTGGCCACACGAGGCCGCTGCAGTCCCACAGATGGCTCCGCCCTGCCCATCTCCGCCAGGAAGCAGCCCCAGAGAAGCAGCCCTACCTGGTAGGCTGGAGGTGGGCAGGGAGCTCCACCCGAGAGGAAGCAGCCCACTGCGGCATCAGATCTGTTTGCCCTCAGAGGACGGGACTGCATGTTTCCTCCTTCCAGGGCCCAGGGTTTCCAGGTGTATTCAGAAGGCCCCCAAGGTAGGGAGCCAGGGCCCTGCACAGTGCGTTAGGTGCTTCAGAAGCCTCAGCATTTGGTTCTGGAGGTGACCCAGTGAGATCCGGTCAGCACCATCTGCAGCTAACCGATGGGGAAACAGAGTTTTGGAGAGTCACATCTCAAGTCCAAGGTCCTACCTCTGGAAAGGAACAGCCTCCAGGGCTCCAACTGCAAAATCCATGCTCTTTTCTGAGCTATTTCCCCGGCCCTGCATAGGCACCAGGGGCGGGAGGGCCATGAGCCTGGGTACACCTCAGAAGGGAACCTAGAAGTGCCAGTTCCGACAGAGAGCAGCCTCTGTGAAGAGGGTGAGGAGGAGCTTGAAGATGTTCAGACCTGATTCTGACGCATGATGGCCCCTAAGGAGACCATTCTGGCAATAGTAGGAGACCAGGAAATTGGCAAGAGGCCACCCCTGGGTGGGGAAGGGGCAGTGGCCTGGGCCAGGGCAGAGGCAGTGGGGGACAGGAGGCAGACAGGAGGCAAAAGCACAGACCCCAGGGACTGTGGGGAAAAGGAGTCGCTGGGTTTCTGACTCTGGCAGCTGATGGGGCCATTACTGGAGAAGAGTGGGGCTGGGGGAGATGCTGATGTGGGGGGGGGGGCAGCGAGGGGAGAAGAGCCAGGAGGGAGGCTGGCAGAAGAACTCCAGAACTGCAGACCTAGCGTCCCCAGAGCCAAGGGAGGGGACAGTGCACTGAGGGAGGGGGCGGTGGCATCACCCAGTGCCAGAGGTGGATGGGATTCAGAAACCAGAGGAGGCCTTGCCCTTGCAGGGTTGGGGTTTGACAGCTCCATCCTCTCTGGGGAAAGATTCACGGGGCCCCAAAGAAGGCACCCACAGCTTTGGCAATGCCACTGGAGGGGTCAGCACCCTGCACAAGTGGGGGGGGGGGGCGGATAGCTAGAGGGACCAGAGGACAGAGGAGGCCATCAGGATCCCAGCCCAGGTCTCACAGCAAGAAGGTGGCTGAAGAAGCAAGTCTGGAACAGAAGCTGCCCGGACTGCCTTCTGCAGCCCCTGGAGCAGTGTCGCCCCTTGTGCTCACTGTCTAGCCCTGAGCCCAGGACAGTGTCTCAGAGAAATCCTGCAGGGCCCGCTGGAGCAGCTACGGGGCCAAAGTGCACGAAGATCCAGCTGGAAGCAAGGCCCAGGCTGTGGGACCATTCCCCTGCTCAGCCAGCACTCACAGATGCCCCAGTGGAGGGGGGCACAGGAAGGAAGCATCAGACTTATTCCTCTGCTGCCATCTGGGCTGGGTTCTAACATTAGACTCCATCCTCCAGGGACAGCCAAGGAAGAAAGACCAAGGGAGCCGACCTATGTGTAAACTGCAGGGACTATGTGTGGACACCTTAGATTCAAATCCTGCTTGTGCCACTCCGCAGCTCTGTGACCTTGGGCAGTTACGTAACCTCTCTGTTGTCCAGTTTTCTCATCTGTAAAGTGAGATAATGAATAGTGCCTACTTTGGGGAGGGGGGGATGGTTGTGAGGATTAAATTAATTAGTACACGCAAGTGCTTAGGACGGCACCCAGCACGTGGCAAGTACTGTGTTAAGCGTCAGCTATTATGACCTTAGGTAATGACTCAGTGTTCAACGCCTCCAGGCATCCCCTCACCCTATACTGCAGTTATAGCTTCTGCACCTAAAGAGGCAAAGAGTCAGCTTTGCAGCCGTAAGGGGTAGGAAAAAGGGTTGGACATTGCCTGCTTGCCAGTCGTGAGGCTTGAGGCAAAATATTTATCCTCTCTGAGCCTCCGGGGCCTCATCTGGAGTGGCTGTAAATACTTAGACTGTTTGGGAACACCAAGTACTTAGTAAGCATGTGTGCACTTATTGAGTCCACAGATGCTGGCTGTGTGCCCACTACGTGCCAGGCCCTGCTAAGAACCGGGAATCCTGCGGTGAGCCAGCCCCGCAGATGTGGTCCGCCCTCAGGGGCTGACGTCCAGTGGGGAAGAAACATGAAACACAACGCACCATCAGGACTCCTGTGAAAGGGAGATGTCTGTCACCTGGTGGGGGTCAGGTAGGCTTCCCGGAGGAAGTGACCTTGGAGCTGACAGCTGAGGGCTGAGTGGGCATTCCCTAGACCCAGGGGCAGCTGGGGGAGGGGAGGGGGGGAAGGGCATTTCTGGCAGAGGGAATGGCGGGAGGAAAGCCCCAGTTGAGGAGCTGGAAGAAGGACAAGAACATCCAGGGCAGAGAGCGCCAGGCCAGGGAGGAGGGGTGCTCCAACCACAGTGCGCACTCCGGGCAGACCGGATGACTTCTGCCTTCTCCCTCATGCCCTTGCTGAGCTTGAACCCCGCTCAGTGTTCTCCCCACATGGGACGATCATCCAGACCCACGCAGACGCCACTCTACCCCTCAGCGCCATCGCCTCCCATCCGGATGCCTCCACCCCTCCCCCCTACAAGCAGGGTGCTCCTCTGAAAATGTAATCGAGGCCCTCCCCTTGTCCAAACCCTCCACAGTCCTCCCGGTGGGATCAACCCTGAGGCCCCCACCTTGCCGCCAGGTCCTGCCCTGGGCCCTCACTCCTCTGCCATCTCTCCGCCGGTCCCCTTTCGCCATCCCCCCACCCCACCCCCCCGGCCCCACCCCCAGTGGCCCAGCTCAGGGCCTAAGCCTGCTGCCCCCTGGCACGCTCTCCTGCAGCTGTGAGCCTCAGTCGCTCACTTCCTGCAGGTATTGCTCAAACGTCACCTCCACCCAGAGGTCTTCCCGGACCACCCTACAAATTATACCTCCATCACTCTGTCTGTATCCCTTCCTTGTCTCATTTCCCCCCACGGCCCTGATCATGTATGAGTTGCTTCTCTGTACTGTCGTTTCTTCCACTAGGGCACCAGCTCCAGGAGGGCCGGGGCTTCCGGCTGCTGGATCCCGAGGCCTGAGAACAGGGCAGGGTGCTTAGCGGGGGCTCAGTCATCGTTTGCTGGCTAGACGGATGGATATATAGATGGATGAGTTTGCTGAGCACCTAATGTATGCTGGGCTCTGTTCTGGGGACTCAGAGATGAACCAGACCCATCGCCACCAGCAGGTAGCTCCTGGTCCTAGCAGGGGAGACAGACCCGGAATATAGGACAGCCCTGGGCTCGCCGCTGCGGTACCAGAAAGCAGAGGGGCTGGGGGGCCCCCAAGGAGAGGCTGGCCAAGGCTGGCGAGGGGGCGTGCAGGAGGGGCGCATCCAGCACCAACAAGGCGACATGCTTTGCAGCCAGGGCGCAGGGCGGGAGGACACCTACCCCAATGAGCCCTCGGAAGCGAGTCTCCCCCGAGCTGAGCAGCCCCCGGGTGCTGCACGGTCTCTTCTGCAGCTCCTCTAAGAAGTCTTTGAGGTTGTAGGAGCCGGGCCCCAGCTTCTCCTTCTGCCCCGAGAGAAGAAAGCAGACGGTGACAGCTTGAACCCAGGGGACGTCCACGTGGGAGGGAGTCTGGAGGAGGGGCGGCACCCCGTCCAGGAGGAACACTGCCTGGGGGGACTCACCTGAGACTGCTTCTCTCGCATGATGGCCTCGTACTGGAAGTGGGGCAGCCGGGTCAGCCGGGTGGCTTCCTGGGCCCGGGCCCAGCCTGTGCCCACCTCCTGCTTGAGCTTCTTCTTGCTGAAGCAGGTCTCCTGGTAGCCGTAGGTTCCTGGGCCTATGTGGGACTGAGTCAGAGGACAGGCACACCAGTCCACCTGCACAGTGAGTCCTCTCTCCCACCGGGGGCTGGGCAGGCTGGGGCCCCCCACCCGCGGTCCCGAACCTGGCACCGAGGGGCGTGGTGCTCAAGGTACAATCACAACATCCTCTGTCAGTGCTCTCCCCCTACACTTAGGGGCAGCCCCTCCTCCAGAGCCCACGGCTAGTTGAGAAGAGATGGCACCCAGGTCTCCATCGCCCCGACCCACACTGTTCTCACCACAGTCCGGCGTTTATCAACACAGCTGAGGCCCCAGCTCTGAACCAAGCTCTGTGCTCCAGACTGAGGGCCTGGAGAGGTGTCAGCAGGGCCCTGACACAGCTCAGCTCCTCCTCCGTGGCGAGGGACCTGGAGGGGCAGAGGGAGACTCACCGTTTCCACAGAATGAAGCTTGGAGTAGGGGGCCTCCGTGAAGGTGCTGAGTTTCTTCTTATTGGGGTAAACGGCAGAGACGTCAAACCTTGGTGGGGGGGGGCGTGGGAAGGGACTCAGTCGGTTAAGCCTCCGATTCTTGATTTCAGCTCAGGTTATGATCTCACAGTTTGTGGGATGGAGCCCTGTGTGGGGTTCTGTGCTGACAGCGTGGGGCCTGTTTGGAGTTCTCTCTCTGCCCCTCCCTCTCCCTGTCTCAAAATAAATAAAATAAACTTAAAAAAAAAAAAAAAACCTAGGGAGGGACAGAGGCCCAGAGAGAGAGAGCTCAAGGCCTGGCACTGGGTCCTGGTGTGGGTAGTTCTGGGGGGCAGGGGGGCGGGGCGTGGGATGTTGGGTTCCCAGAGGGGCTGGTGGGTGGAGCCTGAGCGGTGCTGCTGCCACCTCAGGGTCTCTGTGCTTCCTGCTTCTCCCTCCACTCTTGCCTGGTCCCCTCCCTTCTGATGGAAGCCTTTACTCAAAAGTCACCTGATCGTCTCAGTCCCCCTCTCTCCCCTCTGTCCCCCCTCTGTCCCCCCTCTGTCCCTTGCCGGGCCCTCCTCGCATCTTGCTACTTCTGCATAGCCCTTCCCACTCTCCAACATTTTCTATAGTTTTCTTTTTGGTTTATGACCCGCTCCAACCACCCCTCCCCACAAGAATGCGCACTCCTGAGTCCAGAGTTTGCTGTTTGCTCACTGTTGTGTGCCCAGATGCTAGACCTGTGCCCCGCACGTGTGAAGTCACGTAAAGGTGTGAATGAAGGACAGCTGGGCTGAGACCCTGCCCACCACCTGACGCTGAGCGGCCTCCTACCCTCCGCCTGGCCTCTCTGAGCCCGGCCCACAGGAGCTGTTCTTGAAACGCCTTCAAATCACTTAAAGATGCTGAAAGAGCTTTGGGCAGAGAAGTGCGGCAGGTGTGACGGCAGGTGTGACGGGCAGTGAAGGTCGCCATCCCCTCCTCTCCCCGCCCGCCCCCTCCCCGCGCAGCCAGGCTCCCTCCCGTCGCTCCCTCCTCTCCCAGGCTCCAGCCACGCCTCCGTGGCCCCACCTGTGGCTCTGCACCCCGAAGGGCGCCCCGCTGAACCACTTGGTGCCCATGGCTCGGGCGCCCCCAGGCGAGGTGCTTGGCGGGCCCGCCGAGGGACTCCTTCCGCTGACGCCTGCGGCCACCGCTGCCACGGCAACCCCGCCTTGTGACCTGTGAGTCCCCGGAGACCTGTGGCGTGCCCGCGCCCCAGTGGCGCCCCCTGCCTGTCTCCTTCCGCTCCGCACGTTTCCTCCACCACCTGCGGGATATCCTTCAATGAGCCCTGCAGAGCTGAAGGCCCTCCACGGTGCTTAATATGGATGCCTTTTTGAAAAAAAATTTTAAATGTTTTTTATTTATTTCTGAGAGAGAGAGAGAGAGAGAGAGAAAGACACAGCGTGAGCAGGGGAGGGTCAGAGAGAGAGGGAGGTACAGAATCTGAAGGAGGCTCCAGGCTCTGAGCTGTCAGCACAGAGCCCGACACGGGGCTCAAACCCACCAACCGTGAGATCGTGACCTGAGCTGAAGTCGGACGCTTAACCAACTGAGCCACCCAGGCGCCCCTAATGTGGATGTCTTTTGATGGGGACTTCGAGTCATTTATTGAGGAACCGTTTCGGATTCCTTGCTTTATCGCAGCGCCTGCGGCACAGAGCCTGGTAGAAAGAGGCTCTGAAATGCAACATCACCGAGGCCCACAGGGAGGGCTCAGCTTGGGCAAAGAGTGCATCCGGGTTCCTTCTCCACTTTGGGGAGGGAAGGAGTCAGTGGGAACCGGCAAGGAGAGCCAGCGGGTGGAGGGAAGGCTTGCAGGGATGGAGGCCGGGCTCATCTGTCCCCCACATACCCCAGACACCCGCTCTGGGCAGACACTCTGTAGGATGCCTAGTCCTGGCCGTGGGAGTCCAGCGGGAGGAAACAATGACCACACAGTGTGGCCAGGCCTGTGAGAGAAGGAGGCCTCTGACTGACCCAGCCATAGGTGCATAGGTCAGGGAAGGCTTCCTGGAGGAGGAGAATTCCAAACTCATTATTGAAGTGTGTGTATGAAGTGCTAGGTGAGGAAAGGAGTCGAGAGTATTTTTCCTCATCAGGGCACGGTCAGCTCTTCCCCCCCCCCTTCCTTTATGCCCCACCAGTGCCCCTTGATCATGCTATATCTAATATCATCTCTCACGATTCCCTTTGATCCCCCCAGTGGTCTTTGGCTGAGGCACAGCAGAAAGCCACCTCCAGGTTGATAATGACGGGACAGAAGCCAGAGAGAAACAGGACTTGCCTGGGGTCCTGCATCCAGTCTGGCGTGGCGCTGGGGTACCGGGACCCTGTGTCTCCATTCAGTGTCCACCTAGTACCCTACTGACATTCCAAGAAAAAATTTAAATAGGAAGTTCAGACCCCTAGCATAGCTCTGAGCTGGGTGCTCAGGCCCCAGGCCAGGCAGGCACATGGCCATGGCCGGCGGAACGTCCACCCTGCACCCCTGATGGCCAGAGGTGTCAGGTCCGGGGAGCACACGCAGAACAGCCCCCCCTCTCCACCCAGGTCATCTAAGCACAGGCGCTACCCTTTCCCAGCTGTGCAGCCCTGGGCAATCCATTTCCTTTTCTGATTCCTGACTTCCTTCCCTGGAAAATGAAGCTGGTAACCTCTGTCTCTCCAGACTGCTCTGAGGATGAAATGAGCTAATTTAGGTGTGCCCTGGCACAGAGCAGAATCAATAAGGGGCCGTTCCTGGCCCTTGGAAAGGTCAGAGGTGGAGACTGGGTCTCACCCACTCCTGGCGCAGTACCTGGCACATAGCAAACGCTCAGTAAATATTTGTTGAATGACGAGTGAACAAAGAAAGGAATTAATCTAGAACAGCTGCCCAGTCACGCATATATCCTCAAAGAGAGTCGTTTGAATCCTGGCCCTGCCGCCGTCTGGCCTTGCACACGTTACCCTGCCCAAAGTTCAATTTCCTCCTCTGTGACAGGGACACCGACGGCCGCCTTGTGGAGGAGCTCTTTGGGGGTGTCAGTGCAATGTGGTTGTGTCCACCCCCGAGTCCTGGGCGCTGGGCAGGCCCAGTGACCAGTCCTGGGTCTGCCCAGGTGTTCTCAGCACGGCCCACACCTGCCTGAGGCTGCTTCACTCCTTCTTTCCCAACCTGAGCCCTGGGCTCCACGGCTCCTGGAAGAATGATCACAGGACATAGGCCAAGGTCTGTTGGGCTGGGAACCCCAGCAGCCAGACAGGCCAGAGCAGGCCCAGAGCAGGGGAGTCAGCTGTGTACAAGGCCGCCGCCCAAGTCAGCCCAAAGCCTCCCGTCGTAGCAACCCGCTAATCCTAGCAACCAACTCATTCTCTCTTAACCCCCCCTCCCATCCCGTTACATGGAAGACAAAACCAAGGCTCAGAGAGGGAGAGTAACTTGCCCTGGTCACATCTAGTGAGGTGTGGGGGTCATGCAGTGAATATGGGACCCATAATTAGGCTTGGGAGCTCCCGGCTGGGAGAGGTTCTAACCATCCAGACTCTGGGGACATCTGTTTTGTCAGCAGAGTAAAGATCCTCAGTCAGGATTCAGGTCTCTGAGATGGTGCTGTGGCCGCTGCCTTCACTCCTCACCCCCTGCCCTCGCTCTAAGTTTCAGTCATATGGACCTCTCTGTCCCTAGGCACCCCCTGCCCCACAAACCCCTGGCCCTTTTGTATGGCTTTCCTGCTGCTGAAATGCACTGCAACCTCTCTTCCTTCCCACCCAATTCCTACTCATCTTCTCAGAGTCAGATCGAATCCAAATCCACCCGTTAGGATGGCCGTTATCAAAAACAGCGGTGCCTGGCTGGTTCAGTCGGTTAAGTGTCCAACTCTTAGTTTCGGCTCAGGTCGTGATCTCCCAGTTCGTGACTTTGAACCCCGAGTCGGGCTCTGCGCTGACAGCGCGGAGCCTGCTTGTCATTCTCTCCCTCTCTCTCTGCCCCTCCCCTACTCACGCGTGCGTGCTCTATCAAAATAAAGAAAGAACAAACACAAAACAGAAAATACCAAGTGCTGCAAAGATGTAGAGAAATTGGAACCTTTGTGCATTGTCGGTGGGAATACGAAATGATGTCGCTCTGATGGAAAACAGTATAACAGTTCTTCAAAACAAATTAAACATTGGTATGGCCAAGCCGTTTCACTTCTGGGTATATAGGCAAAAGAACTGAAAGCAGGGATGGAAACAGGTAACTTGTAGATTCTTGTACAGAGCAACATTGTTCTCTACAGCCAAGGGGGAAACGACCCACCTTGGATGGGTCCACCGATGGATGAATGGCTAAACAAAATGAGGTATATGCATACATACATACAATGAAATATTAGTCACACCTAAAAAGGAAGAAAATTCTGACACATGGAACAACATGGATGAACCTTGAAGACATTAGGCTAAGTGAAATGAGCCAGTCGCAAAAAGACAAATATTATATTATTCTATTTCTATGAGGTAATGAAAGTATTCAAATTCAGAGAGACAGAAAGTGGATGGTGCTTACCCGTGGCTTGGGGAAGGAAGGTTCTGGGGGTTATTGCTTCATGGATACAGTTTCACTTTGGGAAGATGAAAAGGTTTTGGGGGAGGATGGCGGGGATGGCTGTGCAACAGGGATGTACTTAGGGCTCCTGACTGTACACCTAAGCATGGTTAAAATGGTCAGCTTCAGGTTAAGTTCATGTCACCACAATAAAAGGGGGTTGGGGGGAGGCCAAGCACTCTGGGAACCCTCCCTGATGCCTCCAAGTGCCCTCTCATGAACGCCAGCAATTTACAGCAATGCCTGTTTACGAAAACTCATTAAATTTTATATTCTAAAATCACGGGTGAGAAGTCGCACCCAAATGAGGTTTTCATTTACCTTTTTATCGCACAAGTCATACTTTCCCCCAAGTTTTTCCAAGTGTACTAATCGGGTCTAGTTCCTCTTTTGGAAATGCTGGTGTCTTTTTCCAAGAGGCTGAAGGGACAGGGTGTCAGGAGCCCCACCCCGGTGGAAGGAGGGGCGGAGGGTCTCAGCAGCTCAGCTCTGCTACAAAGCCCAAGGCCAGCCGCCTTGCAGGAGGGAGTGGAGCCCAGCCTTCTAGAGGGCAGGGAGCCAGTGCGCATCCTGGGGGAAGACTGGCAAGGAAAAGAACACTGGGCTGCAGGGGGCAGACAGGATGCCATGGGAACCAAGTGGGGTAGTGGGAGCTGCTAGCTATCGAGACTGGCATTCACCAGGTTTACCCTTGATAGCCACCCTACCTCTAGGGGACAGAATGCCACCCTCATGTCACAGATGCGGAACGTGTGAAGTGTGAAATTATGACGCGACTCATAATGACAAAGGTCACAGATTCTTAGAGATGGAGAACCAGGATTAGAAGCAGCACATGGAACCCCAGAGCCTTTCCTCAGCGGCCAACGGCGGGGCAGAGAGGAGCCAGGGAGATCCTAAGTGGGGAGGCCGTTATTTATTAGTGGTCTAAGGAGGAGCAGGGAGGAGTGGCAGCCCCCCTTCGGAGAAAGGAGAACACGGGCACTTTGGAGAGGATAGGGCAGCCGGAGGCGGGGGGGGGGGGGGGGGGGGGGGGGGGGGGGGGGGGGGGGGAAGGGCTCCCAGAGGCAGCTGGAAGGGCCAGTCCTGGCCCTCCGAGTCGGTGAGCTCGGGCAGAGAGAGTGGGGCAGTGCCCACAGAGAAAGGGCCTGGCTGGGGTTCCGCAACTGGGTTCCAGGATGCTTGCGCACAGCTCCCTTCTGTGACCCGGGAAAGGCCTTTCCTCCTGAGCCTGTTTACCGTCTGCTGAGCAGAGAGTAAAACCAGGCCCTTTGCCGCGCACCGGGATTTGCGCGCCCCGCATTTGGCAATGCACCTGTTTTTCTGGCACACCTGGTTGTGCAATGCGGGCGTCGAAGAGGCGCTGAGCAGCGAAAGCCGACACACCCACAGGGCGCGCCCAGAGCCCAAGCTCAGACCCTCCCACAAGCGGGAGGCGGCCAGGCACCGGGACCCGGCAGTGCCCTGGGCCTTCCCGTGCGGCCCCTCGCCTCCCGCGCCGGGCTCGCGGAAGCCACGGCCCCCGCAGCCTCCGGGGCAGCGGCGAGGCCCAGGAAGCATCGGGGCTGCCATGGCGGAGCCGGAGGCCACGGCCGAGGACCTGGACGCCCTCATCGACAACCTGGACTACCTGCCCGGCCACTTCCACCTGGAGATGCAGCTGAACTTCGAGCCGCGCTCGCCGGCCTCGTTCCGCTCCCGGGACCTGAAGCTGCGGCGCGACGGCCTTCGGCAGGAGCTCGAACTGGCGGCCGCCCCGCAGCGCCCCGCCGTGCGCCACCTCCTGGGCGCCTTCGCCTTCTACCTGGAGGAGCTGGACGAGGCCCGCGAGCGCTTCCTCGAGGTGGCCCGCGAGGACCCGGGCAACCTCAACGCCTGGGCCAACCTGGTGCACGTGTACGCGCGGCTGGGCCAGGAGGAGGAGGAGGAGGCGTGCGCCGGGCGGCTGGCCGGCCTCATGGGCCTGGAGGCCGAGCGCCCGGCGGCCGGGGACCCCCAGCTCCGCGCCGCGCGCTGCCTGGCCGAGCAGGGCTACGCGCACGGCTTCGACGTGGGCTGCGCCAGCGCGCAGGAGCGAGCGCGGGTGCTGGCCGCCGGCATCGCGCTCTACGACAAGGCGCTGGGCTACGCGCAGCAGGTGGGTGACCCTCCCCAGGCCGGGAAGGCTGGGCTCGTGGCCCTCAGCGTCTGCAGGGACGCCCCCGCACCCCAGACTCTCCCCGAACCCTGGCCCGCTGGCGTCGCTGGCGTCGCTGGCGTCTGGGATACCCTTTCGGCGCACCTCTCCTCTCCACCATCTCTCAGGCCCTGGGGCCCAGACCCAGCTTGTGGCTTTTCTCTGCCGGGCTAGGGCGGGGACGGGCTTCCTGGCGGGAAGGTCTGCCTCAGTTTCTCTTTTGGCAACGCTGCAAAATCAGCCTGGCCAACCCATCCTTCGCATCTTGCTCCTCCCAGCAAGTACCTGTCCGTGCTCCTGTGCACACCCACCTAGGTAATGGCACAACCCATCTGCCAACCCGCCAGAGGCGTGGGCAGCATTCTTCCCTTCTCTCCCCCCTTCACGACGCCATCCCTATCCACTGGGACCCCAGCACCGTGCATTCTGCATAGCCACTCCCCTGCAGCCTCCCTCTGCTCGGGCCTCCACCATTTCCTGCCCGGCCACTACCTTTGCCATCACCCCGCCTGGGTTCCTGCCCTCCTGCGTGACCCTTTGCCTCATCCTTCACCCTGCTGCCACCATCGTGTTGCTCAGCCTCACTGGCCGTGTCCCTGAGCTGCTTACACCCCCAGGGACTCCCCACTACCTAGCAGAGAAGCCTGAGGCTCTCCAGTGGACATCTGGGACCATCCACGCTCTTCCTCTCTGCTGGCCCTCTGCCTGCTCTCCCTTGCAGTCAGACTTTTGCCACAGCCTGCTTGCCTCCCTGCGTCCCCCCTCACTGGGCCAGGTCTCCTTAAGCTCACCTTACCTCTCCCGCAAGCCCTTCCTAAGATGCCCTTCTGATCCACCTTTGACTGGAAGGTTCGCTCCCATCTTGGGTTTGTCTCAGGCACCCCCCTCCTCTAGGAAGCCTCCTCTGGCTTCTGCAGGCTGGGTCAGATGCCTGCCCTGGGCTGCCGCAGCACCGCTCACACTGTCCGTTCACAAATCTGTCTCCTCAGGTTTGCCTTGAGGTCTTAGAGGGGGGACAACATCTGACTGGGTCAGCACTGCAAGCCGTATAGCAGGGACAGTGCCTGGCTCACGGTGGCACTCAATAAATATATCTTGTATGGGCAGAACAGGGCCCGGCACCAAGTAGAAAAATTCTAGGTGTATTAATTACCTATTGCCGCATGACAGATACCCTCCAAGCCTCAGCAGCTTAAAGCACTAAGCATCCATTACCTTATAGTTTTGTGGGTCGGGAATCTAGGCATGACTTAGCTGGGTACCTCCGGGCTGTGGTCTCACGTGAAGGCTTGCCCGCTGGTGGGAGGCCCCGCTTCCCAGCTCACTCACGTGGTTGGAGGCAGGCTTCAGCTCCTCACTGGCTGTTGGCCAGAAGTCCCCCTCTGGTCCTTGCCACATGGACATCCCATCACTTTTGCTACATCCTATTTATGGGAAGCGAGTCACTAAGTCTAACTTACACTCGGAGGGGACTACGCAAAGGCACGAATACCAGGAGATGGGGATCGCCAGGAACCATCTCAAAAGCAGCCTGCACTGATGACAGTTGAATGATGTAAGGGCACTATCCTCCTGTTACAGAAAAGGAAACCACAGTTCAGAGAGGTACCATGGCTTTTCCACCAAGGCAAGGTTTAGCTGATAATGATGATGTTGTATGTGGCTTAGATTTGTGATGTTTACACAACAGTGAGCCTTCACACACCCGGGGCACTTTTCCCTCGGAGCCTTTTCCACCCAAAGCCTTGTCTAGCTTTAGAGAGAAAACGTGGGGTCCAGACCTCAGGGAATGCCGCTCAGAGGGCACAGACTTGGGTTAAAGAGAACAGCACAGGCTAGAGGTCAAGATGGTGGGCTCTGGGTCAGATAGTTCAGGTCCAAATCCCAAGCCCTGACACTGTTTCACCTCCAGTCCATCCTTAGCATCACCTAGCTTCTATTTCCCTCCCTGTAAAATGGGGCTAATAATGGTACTTACGTCCTAGGCTCCCTCAGCTGTGAGATGAGGGCACTCCCATTTGGTTGATGTCATCACGAAGACCTGATATTTGGCAAGCACTTAGAATAGAGCCGGCACAGAGATGTGAGATTGCTGATGACCTCTGCCTCTCCTGGGCTGAGAGACTCCTCAGGACGTCCCAGAAAAGCCTCTTCTGCCCCAGGTTGGGGGTAGCTGTGGCCATCGTGGGGGGGTCCACAGGGACCCAGGTTTTCCGTTTTAAAGCCTGAGCCCCAGGTCCTGAATACCAGCTGCCCCCAGCGGGAGGCATGGCTAGTGTAGTGTGTATTCAGTGTGGTCCAAGCAGCAGGACAGGGCCTAAATGGCCTTGAGCTAGGAGCCAGGGGGCCCGGTTGGGTCTTCCCTTCCGGGCTGTGGTTTCCCCCTCTGTGAAATGGGAGCAGAGAGGGGGGATTGGATGTTCTATAAGGTCCCTTCCTGAGAGCCTGGGAAGGCTTCCTCGAGGAGGTGAGCATGGAGGCAGAGGTTTGGGTCACCTCCCTCCCACTGATCAGCCTAGCCATGGTAGTACCCCCCACACACCGAGAGTGACTTCCCAGAGGATGGGGTGTCAGGCAGGGCACTGCCCAGTGCTTCAGGGAGGGAACTGCTTCAGGTGGGCAGTGGCCAGGCACCAGGCTCTGTGCTGTGTCATTGGGTCTGGACAGGATGGCTGTGGTCAGCCCCCCATCGCAGGAGAGGGTTGGGGATTTGGAGTTCCCATCTTGTCATCTGAGAATTCAAAAAGATGGTGTCTATAAGGTGCCTGGCTCAGAGTCGATGACAAAAATGGCCACAACAGGGTATCACTGCAGCTTTCATTATAGTTGAGAGCAGTTGAAGAAGCAATGATTTTAAGCCTAAACACCTCTAACTTTTTAAAAATACGGTAATTCAAACCTTTCTCTAAGAAATATCCCTGTTCCAAGCTAGCTCAGTTATTTGATGTTCTTCCCCTTTACCCAAATACCAGTGGCTTAATACACATACGCCCCACCCCCACACATGCAGGTCCTTCACCCCTGCTCGTGGCCCCAGGGTGACAATGAGGGCCGTCACCACAATGGGCACCAGGCACCCAGCACAGAGTTTAACATTCATTAGTACACTGGATTTATTTTTTATTTTGTATTATTTTTTAGAGAGCGAGTTTGCGCAAATGAGGGAGAGGGGCAGAGGCAAAAAGAGAATCTTTTTTAATATGGTTTATTTAACTATTTAGAGATGGAATGTGCAATCATGAGCAGGGGAGGGGCCCAACGTAGGGCTCAATCCCAAACCCTGGGATCATGACCTGAGCCACTCAAGCGTGGGACGCTCAACCAACGGAGCCACCCAGGCGCCCCCATTAGTGCATTTGATTTTTATTCAGACTTCACAGACACCCTGCCAGTTGAGTATTGTGACCCCCCCTTCACACCAAGGACATAGGAGGGTCAGGGAGGGAAGCGGCTCGCCAAGCGTGACCTGGTGCACCCGGCTGCCTGGACTGCACCTGCCGGCTGGGGCGGGAAGGGAGGGAGGCAGAGCTTAGAGGCCTGGCAGACAGCCTGGCAAACAAAGGTGTGGACATTCCAATCAGTCCGCACACCCAGAGGGGTGGGGACCTGGTAGGAAGGGCCAAGAGGGCACAGCTGGGAGGCCCAAGGGGTCAGTAGCTCCAGGGTCCCTTGCACACATGGGCGCTCGTGCACGCGCGCGCGCGCGCGCGCGCACACACACACACACACACACACACACCTCCCTACCTCTGCAGCCACCTAGGAGTAAAGCTGGCTCCAGGCCTAGGAGTAAAGAACTGCCCTCCTGACCATGGTTTTTGGCGTCCCATGCGGTCCCCCTCTCCCTCAACCTTCCTTTCTTACCCTCCCCTTCTCCTCGGGGGCCTTGCGTGGGTGCTCTGGTCAGGGCAGATGTGTGTGTGACTCTGGCCAGGGTGTCAGTATGAGAGTCCACGGGCGACAGGGGATCCCTGCTCTGCCTGCCATGTCCTGGGTGACCTGGGCCAGCCGTTTAACTGCTCCGAGTATCCGCATCTTTGACATGGGGGACAGTGGTGCCTGCCTGACCGTGTTTGGGAAGTGTAACTGTGCTCAGAGAGAGAGGGCCCAGCCCCAGCCCCAGCGACATCCTCCTCCCCTGACGGGGCTGCTAGGACCCAGGACACAAGGGAGCCCCCGAGTCTCTCCCTCCTGCCCTTCCTGCGGTCTCCCTCGCCCAGGCCCCAGCCGGTCTTGGGAAAAGAGCAATGGCAATGGGGAGAACCCCACTCCAGGTCAGGGGCTGCGGGTTAGTGGGCAAGTCACCTCCCCCGCCCGGGCCTCCATTTCCTCCTCCGTCAAGTGAGAGGATTGGACTAAGGTGGTGGCCGGAGTGATTCAGGGACAGGAAGGACTGAGGAGTGGAGAAGTGGGCGAAGGAATGAACTTCCTGCAGAAGAAGATGTATAAGCACATGTGGGAAACCACAACTTGGGGGTGCAGGGGACAGTATCTTGAGGACTTCAGTGTTGGAGATCAAGGCAGGGTTTCTCCTTCCATGGTACTTGCAAATATACATGTGCACATGCGCGCGCGTACACACACACACACACACACACACACACACTTCCACAAATCTCAGTGGTTTGATCAGGTTCGGCTAGAAAAAGAGATGAATAACTAACACTGGACAGTGAACTAGGTACTGTGCATTCGTTTACTTTTCATAGATTATCTCATTTGGTGCTTACAGAAATGCTGGGAAACCAGAATTGGTATTAGTCTGTTCTACAGATGAGCAAACTGAGGCTAGAGAGATGTAGTGCCTTGCCCAAGGGCACACAGCCATGAGTGTCTGGCAGAAACTGAACCCAGGTCTCTTGGACTTAAAGCCCAGGCTGAGGGACAGCTTTCTTGGTCTCTGGCTGCAGCCCTCTGCTGGCCTTGGCATCATTCAAATTTGCCTATCCAGAGCCTTCTGA